TTTTGAGTGATCTAAATTATTTAATGAGCAATGAATTAATTTTTATCATGAATAATTAATAAAATTACGTCATTCACTACATGTCTAAGGAATCAGCTTTTCAAATGAGAAGAAATATCATTTTTCCACCTTTTCTATTAAGCCGAACAGTACAGTTTTTGAAACCGTTTGTTATTAAATATACCTGACATAATTATTCAATAATAAATATTTTCCATTAAGAGTACATTCATTTTAATGTACAAAGTTTTTGAGCATGTAATTTATATCAATAAATACATACTGTAAAATTCACTGCAGTGTAATAACAACATAATTTTTTCTGACATTTTAATGCATTAAGTGCCAAGCTTGTTGTGTTTCCGTTTCTGTGTAACCTGTGATATTCAGTTTCACTGATATGCTGGCAGCCAGAGTAGATCTGTGAAAATTTGTTAGAAGAATATAATTTTTAAAATTGTATATAATCAATCATCAGTGACTGACATGATCCAAATGGAAAGTATAGTGTCAGTCATCTCATCAGTGACTGATGTTGTGCTTAATATGTTAATGTTTCAGGGTTAAAATGAATTCACAATAATCAGCGTCAGGGAAAAGTCCTGATAGATGTAGTTTTCCCCATCCTATCTTAGAATTGCATCTTGATTTTCTTAAACTTCATTTTCAGTGATAAAATTCTTTCCATAGTGCATATAGATGTTATCAGTCATGATGCTAAAGATCTTCTGTCTGTCTTTAGTATTATAAAAGTACATTATTCATCAGCAGAATAAAATTGATCATTTAAAAGGCAATTTTATTTAGGCATTTCAGCAACATTTTGCAAGAAGTGTTATGCTATCCATATGTATCGTAAATAAAATAGATTTTTAACATCCTGTAGTGTAGGTCATATGCAAAATTTTGGTACAGAATTCTTTACTTTTTATGAAAGCTGTTTTGTGTGTGTGTACAAAATAAAAGTCTGATGTTGCAGTATATAGATTATTATGAAACTAGAAAACTAGTTCTGCACTGTCTTGTATGTGCATGCAAACTAATGTCTGATGAAACTATCGTAGTATATAGATTATTATGAAACTAGGAAATGTAGGAAGTTCTGCAATATATTTTTAAAATCTTATTCAAAGAGTAATAACATGTTTTAAAAATTTGTTTATTTTTATTTGAAAGTAGGTATTTAATTTGATGAATGACAGCAATAGATATTATTTGTAGTTCATAAAAGTAAAATATTTGCATATTTTTTATATTAAAAAATTTTCTTTTTGCAAAATATTCATATAGGTGTTAGACTGAAATCTGAAGTTATCAAAATGCCCCCCTTTATTTTTAAGTATGTGTTGATTTTATTTACCTTTGTTTCTGGTTTAAACAGCCAGTAACAAAAAGTAAATGAATAAGTTGAGCAGCTGAGAGTTACCCGTCTAATGCAAAAAACACTGTTTAGAAATTATTAAACGGTAAAAACAAATTAAATATTTAAATCTTACAATCTATTTTTTTATTTATTTTATGAACCAGAATGAGTTGTACTTTATTCAGCTTTTTAGCTATTAATTTTTTTCTTACCCTTATGTCTATAAAAGACTTGTTTTTTATTACATTCTAACCTCAGAATTTTATCGCATGTGTATCATGGATTTTTTAATTCATCTGCAGTGTCTGCTTATTTGTTGCTAGTATAAAATATGTCATAGTTAGAAATAAGGGTTGATCTTTAGATTATGGTAACTTGGCGATTTTTTGGCGAAAATTTGCCGACCAACTCTCCTACAGCAACCGTCTATTTTTTTATTTTTTTTTCCCCGCCACCATTTTGTCTTCACGAAGTAAAGACATGTTTCTTTTCTTTTTATCTACTGAACACTTCTTCCAACAATCTACTAGCCGCATTACACTTATGCTAGAAATTTTATCTAACAAAACTGCTTAATCATGACAAATATTGATTGCAAAATTGGGAAAACGTGCACAATAGCAAACTCCTTGCGCGTTTTTTAAAATAACACATACACGTAAACCATGTACACGTCGACTTATTTTTACTTAAAAAATATCCCAGAATTGCACAAAAATGGCATTGCGCACACTCTTCACTATATCCATGTACACAGCTATTTTCTCATAAATTAGAAAAATTTCACGAAAATACATGACAATTTTTTGAATCTTTAAACCCGGTAAAAAGAACATATATGAAATTACCTGATCGCAAAAAAAGTATATACCCTTTCCAAATATGAACATTTCCACGTATAAAATAAATAAAATATCCAAAAACTTTTACCTCTAAATTATCTGTTATATTATAAACGTCACCAACGAATTCATACCGCAAACATTACAAATACTTAGTATCAAATATTTAAATTATTTCCATGCACGTTTACTTCAACTAAAACGTATACCAAATTCCTACAAACATAAAATTCACAAAATAACTATCATTTAATTAAAATATCACTAAACCATGTACATGTCGACTTTTTACTTAACAAAACATCCCAGAATTGCACAAAAATGGCATTGCGCACACTCTTCACTATATCCATGTACACTGCTTTTTTCTCATAAATTAGAAAAATTTCACAAAAATGCATGACAATTTTCTAAATCTTTAAAGCCGGTAAAAAGAACATATATGAAATTACCTGATCGCGAAAAAGTATATACCCTCTCCAAATATGAACATTTCCCCGTATAAAATAAATAAAATATCCAAAAACTTTTACTTCTACGTTATCTATTATATTACAAATGTCACCAACTAATTCATACCGCAAACATTACAAATGGTTACAAATACTTAGTGTGAAATATTTAAATTATTTCCATGCATGTTTACTTCCACTCTAACGTATACCAAATTCCTACAAACATATAATTCACAAAATAACTATCATTTAATTAAAATATAATTAAATTTAAAAACACTGCTTAAAATATAAAAATCATTGCTAATAACAATTTTCCAATAATACCATATTATTTTATTTACTCCTTACATTTAGAACAATGCATAAAAATAATATCCTCAAATAATTAAAAATACTAACTTACCTAATCTTCTTCAGACTCTTGATTACATGTCTGATAAACTTTTCTTATTTCCTCTGCTAAATAAAAAGCAAGCGTATGTGCGCCTGTTTCAGGATCTTTAAAATCATACTTATAGTTCACAGCAAGGTACCAGGTAAAGTAAATAACTTAATAAAACATCTTTACTTCTATCTCGCACAACCTTAAAGAAACACTTATTACTACCCCTTTCAATCCCACTAAATACCCACTTCAAATTCACTTTAGTTAGGGCCATGGGATCCAAAAACTAACGAACACTGTTTCATACAACACAGAATAAAGCTAAATACAAAATTTCCAGATTTTTTCCTGATTTCCCCCCTTTTCCGATTAAAGAACTGTAATTCGTCCATTAATATCACATGACATATCCCATGATCTCTCATTTCCCTCACACAAAATAATGCGTAATCGGAACTGAGTACTGCTCACATTATTACCAAAGTCCCAGGTAGTAACCTTTATCGCCCCTAAAATGTTGCCAAACTACCAGTTACCATATTCTAAAGATCAGCCGAAATAAGTCATATTAACCTAAGTCTTTAAACATAATATTTATTGTACTGTATTAAACTTTAACCATCAATAAAGATACCTTCAGTGGATCTTTTTTCACATCATTATATTGCTTTATAGTAAATATGAATTTTAATTTAGAACTCTTTTTTAAAAATGGAGAGCTGGGAAAAGAAATTAGCTAAACTATTTTAATCGGAATTATTTCTCTCTATTCTGAATTTTCTGTTGTCTTATATTGAATTTTTTATTAACGTATCCTACCATGCACATGAGTATGAACAATATAAATTACAAAATTATTTCCTGTATATACTCATAAATATTTTAGCTTCTGGGAAGAAAAAACAAAGAAAAGTATTTTAAGTCTACTAAGATTAATTCTGTGAGTTTATGCAGTACAAAATCTTTAATCCGGACTCGTTGGGACTTTGGCGTTTCCGGGTTAGGGTTTTTCTGCATTATAGATCATCAATTTAAATCTGTTAAGATGGCATGCAGAAATTATAAAATTAAAAATATGAAACCATAATTTATGAAATAAAGAGCAATTATGATCTAAAGGGTATCAAAATTTACAAAAAAAAAAAAAAAAAAAAAAAAAAAAAACCTTATATTTATTTGTTTACTTTATTAAACATTTCTTTCAATGTAAGTTGTTTAAGTTGCTTTGTGCTAATACTTTCTCTTTAATTCTATAAACAGACATAATTTCTTGTTCGGTTACAAAGTTCCACTGTTCAAGTCCTGTAATTGCTGTACCGAGAATACTGACTAACTTGTCAATCAAAATTTTTTTGTTTTCACTAACCTTTCTGTCACTTACTTCATGCCTTTATCCATTTTTTGCAGCAATTCCACTTTTTGTTTGATGGACATCAAAACATGCTTTCGCTTTGTAGATCCTTTGGCAGCTCCAGAATCGGAAACTCTTTTTGACGTAATCGAAAGTTGAAGCTTACTTTTATAAAATTGCTCTAACATTCTGCAAAAAATAATAAGCCAGATCCAATTAGAAGATTTAAGGAACAACGCAATCTGCAACATTAACTGAAATAGATAATTAGCTAATTTTAGCCTAGCTTATACCGTCTGTTATACATTAAACACACATGCATAAACGTATTATGTGCATGCGTAAACGCATTACACATGCACAGAATGTTTGTAGCTTTGAGGTCTGGATTATAGATCATTCTGGATTATGGATAAACGTATTAAAGACTTTGTATGGTATTATGTTACTTTATAAATCATATATGCTGTTGAAAGAAAGAATTTCAAATAAAAGATGTTTATTGAAAGTTAAGTTTATCTTATTCTGCTGGTCAATATAAAACAGATATATGTTTTATTCTCTACAGAGTATAAAATTTTTTATCATTTTGTTTCCTTAGGTCGAAATGATGAAATAGAAGAATTCAAAAAGTTTAGTTCAAATTTCAAAGTAAGATTTTATGGTTTTAATCCAAATTCTTGGGATTTCTTTTTAAACTTTGGTTGTATTTTATCTGCTATGATATTTATGTAAACTTATCAAGTGAAATCATTATTGTTTTTACACCCAAAAGTGCTTATGCAGAAAATTTTGGAAATATGTTTGTATTGAAACTGAACAGACTGTATAGTTGGTGCCACGTAATGTGATTATGTTTATCCATGCCTGTTTTGGCAGTGTTAAATAACGAGAAAGAATAGCCTTCAAAATAGCAATGGAATTTAACTAGTTTAATATAAATATACCTAGAAACATATAAAAGGTACTTTCACTGCTTTTTATTTAAAAAAAATGCAAAAGCTTTTTATGAATTGTTCATAATGTTTTTGGAAATTATTTGATTGATTCTGAACCCTTAACATTTGAAGATCATCTCTCATTGAAAGGGAGCATGTCAGTGTGGATTTTAAAATTAGGGGAAAAAAAGCAACTTTAGTTTGGAAGGAATGTTTTCAGAAATATCTCCCCTCCCAAGAGGGAAAAAAAAATTAGAGATATTTTTTTAATTGTGAAAAAGATGGATCTGTGTCTGATTTACTCAGGATCAATAGAGTTGCTGAAAACCTGTGTAGTTTATTATTATTATTTTTAATGTATAATGGAAACAGAAAGGCAACTTAACCTCTTACTTGGCCCTATTTTGCAGCCCCTAACTTTTATAAACGATTTTGAATTTGTTTTGAAACTTACTTCAATCTGAAGTAAATTGATTCTATATAATTTTGATCATGTTAATTGTATATTTTATTAAAAGATGCGATGTATTTTCTATGCTTCCTGTATGCAAACTGAAAGGTCTTTGGCAATTCGATAACAATATACAAATGATAACATAAACTGTGATGCATTAATCAGCATCTACTGTAATAACATATGTTCTAATACTGTTCATCTTATGAACATTTCCTCAGCAACAATCTTGAGATATGTGGTACGATTTTTATCAAAACAAATTTTTCCAAATTACATTTTTTCATAATTTATTTTTTTATACATACAACTTGCATGTAACAGTTATATATATATATATATATATATAGTATATATATAACAGCATCAATGCATTATAGCTATCTAGGATAGATCATAGATCCATATTGAAGAGGAAGTATTCTGATTGAATAGTATGCTAATATTTAGAGTTCATAAGATCTAAGAAACTTGACGGTGAAGTCAGTTGTCAGTTTCAATTCCATTTTTGTTTGCCAGTTGGCATTTGTGGCCACAGTTCTCTTTCGTGCCTATTCAAGAACAAATTTTTTATATTATTGTGATAAGAAGTGAGCCCAGCGAAATTTTGTGCAAACACTGCTGAGACAGAAGCTAAAGTGCATAGTTATCCAATATGGAAAGACACGAAAAGAAAAGTTTTGGTTTGAATTAAAAAGTTTGTTTCCAATTACAGCAGGTCATGCAAAATGGAATGATCTAGAAATGACACAATCCAGAGAAGTTATTACAATTTTTAGGAGAGAATTAAAGGGTTACCGTTAGTTTGTATTATAATTTTGATTTACATAATTTTTATCTTGCATATCCCCCCTTCAAAGAGAAAAAGGCTTGGCAACAGAAAAGCCTTTTTAGAAGAAAGCATTGTAGCAGTAGCAAAAGAAAGGAAAATACAATAGTGTGGGGGGGGGAATTATAAAATTTTGATCTAAATAATTTTTAAGAATAACAAAATCTTGTAAGTATCATTTTTAATGATAAATGTAAATTGAAAGTCTGCAAGTTCATTTTTTTCTGTAAAATCACTGAAGGAATGTTGTAATTTTTTCAAGAAATACTGGAAAAGATCACAATTCAGTAAAATCTTTGCTTGAATATTAATAATAATCAATATTTCGCAGTCCTTTGCTTGAAAGTCTTTCATAAAAATTTATGTTGCAATATAAAACCAAAATTTCTTTTACAGATTAATGAAATTTGAATTAATTATTCAACACTTATAAAAATAATCCATATTTTCTTATTTGTAAAGCAATGTGAAATGGAATTTAGAACTTCTTACATACAATAATAATAATGTACAAATACATAACAAAATTGAGTACAATAATAAAAGAAACTTTGATAAAAATGGGCAAAATCCTATACAATGCAAATCAAGCATGACAACTTGCTGTTGGCTGTGAGATGTTTAAATACAATTACACATAAAAGCCTTCATTCCTTAATAAAGGTAACTGACCTCTAGTATTGTATAATTATCAAAGTTTGCATTTATTTATGGCCATAAAAATCTTCAAACTAGATAAATGAAATGAAAAACTAATGCATACAAATTAAATATATATTTAATTCTACACTGCCCTACAATAATAATATGGACCATATAATTTTGTGAACATAAAATAAAAATATAATTTCATAATTATATTTGTTTAGGGAAGGCTTTCAAAAACATCCACTAACATTACAAAATCACAAAAAAATTCAAAATTTTATAATGTAATTAAATTTTTATTTGTGAAACATCATTTGAAATAATATACTATCAAAATTTCTAATTTACTAATTTTGTACAAACTGGAATACCCCACAGCTTTCTCTTAATATGAACATTTCTATCTTATGGGCCTAGTTTAACCTTTTTTGGCATGCTACCTCTTAAATTTGGAATTTGAACAAGGGGGAGGGGAATCCGAAAGGTTTCAGATTTTAAATTACGTTCAAAGGGGCGGTTTTTAATGTTTTGTATGTTACCTTTATGTCTTAAATATCATGTTCTTTGCACTTAAACCATAAAATTCAATTCAATAGCAATGTTGCAAAATAATTTTAAAATGAGCATATCTTTAGAATTTCTAATATACAGTTCCACGTGTTGGAGATAAAAAGGTTTTTTCCCATGTAGAGTGTTGGCATTGCTCACTTTTAAATCATTGAGTTAAAAAATTCGTTCAAGTTTTACAAATATGAAATTGATAATAAAACAAATTCCAGATTACAAATTTGGACTTCTACTTGCCCATATTCGTAAGAGAATTGCGTCATTTAAAATTCTATGACTCTATATACCGTTGTTTTATCAAAATGCGAGAAACCATTTATGCAGATTTTTCATTATTCAATTTCTTCAAATATAATGCAGGACTCTAACATTTGGTGGCAACAGTTTGAAAAGTGATTCACCATTTATAGTGATTCAACGCAAAATTGCAAAACGAAAACAATAGTTCTTCAGGCATAAAAGCCCCTTTGGACTAAAAAAAAAAGTAGGCTGTCTAATCAGACCTAGAGGAATATACAGGTAAAATTTTTCTGTGGCTGTGCCTGCAGCGGGCACACTGAATGAATAGAGCCTTGAAATGAGTATTGCTTGGAAGTGTGCAAAAGAGTAAGGGATTTTGCCTATGATTAAAAAACACTAGATTCTGTAGCAGGTTACCCAGGGTGTGCCACAGGGAGGCTTGCTACTCTATACCCCTCAGAATAGCTCTTCTTGGTTATATGATGATTGCATGCATTTGAATGAAAAAAAAATAGCTTGGGTATATGATATTTACATTTCATATTTACACTTTTATCTATTTTTTTCATGTTGGTACTTTTCGAAGAAAGTGACACCACCTTTGAATTAGCACAACCCAATATTGCACGCTTTGCACATGTATCGGGATCCATATCAGATTCACTATCTGAAAGCAATTAGTGTAGCACTTTCAGTGATTCAGATATGGTCAGCGCTCTCCGATCCATTAGGAAAATAATTAAAAATCCGAAAAATATAAACTAATATTATATCTACAATTAGAAATGATAAACTATGAAATAAAATTAAATGTCTATAACTCAAAACTATCAAACATAGTGCTAACAAAACTTCTTTGAATGAAAGCGAAAGAGGAAAAACCAAAGAGCTATAACTTATAAAATTACCCCTGACCATCACAAAATCACCTCAACAATTTCTTAGTTGATAACCAAGGGGAGAGTAATGAAACATGGATGTGGACCTACCTTTCTATTGTCAATGTACTGACCGGAGAGCTGCAGAGAAATAAAAATACAGTTTTTGGTCTGGTCCTAGTCTCTCAGTGAGCCCACTCTGGGCACACCTGAGGTTCACCGTTCAGTTTTAGGCAAGTTTTCAAGGTAAAAATTTAATATAGAATAAGGAGACTAGCATAAAACCAAGAAAATAATATAGAATTATTTTTTCAAACAATTCTTTTTATATATTTTTTAATTGAATTTTTCTTATTTCTTCAATTCAGAGAGCTGCATTTAAATCCTCACGAATATTTTTTTTTTTTTCTTTAAACTTGCATATTAGAGAAAAATTAAACATTTGGAAGGTTCAAAATTATGTATCACAGAAGCAGTTCAAATGCAAGAGAAACACACCAATATTAAAATTTAAAATTATGCCCACCCTTAAAAAAAACTATTTGTGTTCACTTTTCTTTGCCCATTGCTTTGAATATTAGTATAATTTAATCTAGGTTAAAATAACATGCCAAACAATGTTTATTTTAGAAGTCAAACAACAAAAATCAGCAATATATTTGCAAATTTTCCAGGACTTGTTTAGATGGTTTGACTACCAATCCAACTTCCTCAGCTACGAAAGTGCAAATGGCACAAAATCATTAAACCATTGAAACTAGTCCTGGAAAATTTGAAAATATAATGTTGATTTTTGTTTGTTTGACTTCTAAAATAACTAGTATGGCAGTCAATACTTCCATTTTACAGAGAAGTTTCTTTTGTTCCTGTAGGACCCTTCTTTGATTATAGTCAAAATCAGTTGTTTTCCAAAATCTACACTAGGCTAAGACTGTTTTTCTAACAGTGTCTGAGGTGCTAGAAAATATTTAAAAAGAAATCAAATGACATTTGACAATTTGATAATGCAAAGAGATACCCGTATTAATCTTTACTATTTCTGGGGGGAGGGAATTATTGTTGACAAGAAAAGTATTTTATAAACTTCAAAGATGTTAAGATTCATGTTTCTGCATCTGGATATCTCTATCCCTTGCATCCTGTACTTGTTGTGGCACTGTAAAATAAAATTTATATTTTTTCTGCAGTTTTATATATAAAAAACAAATTTTGATGTATTTCTGCTCTCTTCTAGCTGACAGATGAAAATAGAGACTCTAATGAACCTAAAGACGAATTTCAAAGTAGTGAGTTAAAGACAGATCAAGCAATGCTAGCTGAAAAACTAGCAGAACAAGTTAAAATTGATAAAGACATTGATGAAAAATCTGCAAATGTAGTTAAATTTTCAAATTTAAATCCAAATGCTAAAGAATTTGTTTTTAATCCGAATGCAAAATCTTTTACTCCGGTAAGTATTTCTCATTATACAGTGCATTCTTGAAATTTAGATTTAGTAGTATAATCTTATCCTGCATTTTTTTTTTTTTTTTTTTTTTAATTTTTTCAAATATAAGTTCTGTTAACATACATACAAATACTATTACTTTAATAAAAAGGTATTGGGAATGATCCCATAAAACAGTGGTCTCGAACTCAAATTACATAAGTGCAACAGAAATGACTTCAAAGGGCTGGCAGATCGCGTGAATGACCTGAAGCGGCTTAAAGCTAACTTAATTTAATTTCAAATTTCACTTATTAAATATTTATCAAAACATATATTAACAATACTAATAATAACACAAAGGAGGGAAAATCAAATTTATCATGCTTATTTTCTAACACATTTCTTTTGGTTACATTTCAGGATTAAAATAAATATCAAATTTTCGAACTGACATTAATTCCAACTAATTCATTTTGAATTAACCACTAAGTAACTTACTTTTAACATAAATATAAAATAAAAGAATTATGAAAACGTACTATATTTCCCAGTTTCCAGAGAGAAAACTTTCCCAGTGGAACAAAACTTTAAAATAAACAACAGCAATCTATTCTCTTTCCTTTATGTATTAAATTTTTTATTGAGACAGAGAGAAAAAATGCATATTACTATGTAAATAATTTAACATCCTTCCCCCCTTTTTTTTACCACAGCTTGACACTTGATGGCATTTTGAGTTTGATAATGTATATAAGCCTTGGAGAAAAATTATTGGAAACTATCTTCTTAACTGCTTGTAGACACTCATTGGGTAATCGAGCCCTTTTGTTGTTAATTTTCAACTGCAAAAAACAATCTATTCACAGTAAACATACTTCCAAATAAAGCCTTTATTCTTATAAAAAAATATGCAATACCAGTCATTGCAACTGAGAATATTTAGCTTTTTAAGATTTGTATCACTCTGAAAGTTAATTAATTCTATTTGTATATTTCCTGGTGCATTATTCATGTTTGTTTTTAATGGCAATGAAAATAATTTGAAATCAGATTCCAAAACATTGAATTCCTTAAATCTGCCTTTAAGTTCTTGTTATAATAATGAGGGGGGGCCTCATACTCTTAAGATTTTTCATCTGGAATAGCAGGGTAGGAAATGTACAAAGTGTTTTGATTTAAGTAGTGTTTCCTATATTCTGAATTTAAAAGAAGCATGCATATCAGTGTTAAGTCTTTCCTTTCCTTGCAGCTCTTTATTGAGAATATTTAAATGGCCACTTAAATCAAGAAGAAATGCTAAATCTGTTATCCATGTATCATTATGCAGCTCATGAATGGTTTTATTTTTTACATCATGAAAATTTTGATTTTGTTCATGAAATCAAAATATTGTCTTAATACAGGTCCTTGATTTTACCACCTCACCTCAGAATAATAAATCATTTCTCAGTACTTTCAATTTCTTGAAGCAGTATAACAAATTTTCAGTAATCTGGAATTTGTACATGGATAATGTTTACGGTTTTAATTATGGCTTCCATAGCATCATTCATTTGCAAGTTTTTGACGCAGAATACTTCTTGGTGAATAATGCAATAAATATATAGAGCAAAATGTGTTCTGAAAATTTTCTTCTTTCACTATAGTTCTTAATTTTACCACTGCTCCATTTTTGTTTTCAACAAACATAACACCTGCATCCTTGCAAATTCAATCAGTAAATCCCAACTTAAATTATATTTAACTATTACAGCTTTTATTTCAGGGAAAAAAAAAAAAAAAATTCTGTCCAACAGTTTTTCCTTTTGTAGGAATTATTTTCCTAATTTCTCAACTGCTTCAAATTGTTACCTCATCAGCAACACCTCATGCAAAAATGGCAAGCTGTGCTTTATCATGATGTTGGTACTGTCGTCAGCTGCTAGTGAAAATGCTGCAAAATTAATAAATTTTTCATTTAACTGACATCATAAATTACTTGCAGTTTCATTAATATGTTTCACTACTATGGTGACTCACAAACTAATATTTTTAAATAATTGTTGTAATAATGACTGCCAAAATGTTTGCTAACACTTTTCTAATTTTTTAATGAACATGATATTGCAATCCTTTGCTTAATGAATTTATGCTAGTATCAAAATTTTTAAGCATTGTATCAAAACAAATACATTACTGAAATGTATTGGTGGGCCGCATAAAATTGTTTCGGGGGGCTGCCAGCTTGAGACCACTGGGCTAAGCACAAAATTTCATCTTGTTGATTTATTTATTATATCCCCTTCAAAGTAATCATCTGTGACTGCAGAGTACTTATGCCAGTATTTTTTAAGGTTCATAAAACATGTTTTAAAGTCGCATTTATAAAATCATTCCAAGACTAGTAGCAGAATTTATTTTATTGCATTAACTAGACCAAAAATGTTGCCCATGAAGCTGCAGTTTTAACTTTGGAAATAAGAAATGATACAGTGTCATATCAAGTGAATTCAGAAATTGCAGTCACATTTATGGATTTGAATTGAAATTCTCAAACAAGAACATCACTGTGAGCAGGTGCATTATCATGATGCGAAATCAATTTGTTATCTTGCCATATTTCGTATTGTTTTCTGAGAATTGCATCACACAAATAATCACTGAAATAATAGTTTTTTTATTAATAACATGGCTAGTTGGTAGAAATAATCCACAAGACAATGATAGTCAAAGAAAATGGTAACATTCATCATCTTGATATCTGTCCCAACTCTTATGTGGTATTTTTTATCTTGGTTGATCTTTTGAACAGCTGTCACCTAATACCTTACTTTAGTTGATACTTTTGCTTTTTTTTTTTTTTTTTTCAATGTTATATGTGTTTTTCCTGCAAAGAGTTTGAACACTATTTGGAATTACGCAATTACAGAATCTGACAAATAATGGAACTGAGTTAATGAAACACGAAATAAACAAAAGCAAGAATATTGGTTTTAGATTCAAGGTACATAACTTTCATACTGTTACCACTGAGTGATTTAACAAAGCTGAGATGCCTTGCATATGTTTCCTTGTGATACTGCCCAATTACCAAGCATTATACTATTTTGGGTCAGTGAAAATGTTATGCACATGCATTTGAAATACACAAATAAAAATATTTTAATTAGTAATTTAAATGCTAAATTATGAATAAAATGTAGGTAGGATTGTATAAATATAAATATGAAAATGTTATATAAATCGGAAATATTTTAAAAAATAGTTTTTTCTGCTGTATTTCTTTGGTCATTCATGGTCTTTTCCACTGTGGAAGAAAGTTTTTAATGCAGCATATTTTCCATTGTGGTTGTGGAAAGTTACCTGATTGTAAATGAAGGTTGGCCATTTGAATGATATGTTACTTCACCAATGGCATTTTTATTTTGGCTGTACTAGAACCAGTCTTATGATTTAATTATCATACGTTTTATAAATTGATAATTATTTGTGGGAAAAAAAGGTGTATGTGGAAATGCATGCTATCTTGCTCAGCTTATTCTTTTACATTAACATATACAGTAGAGCATGGCTTAGCTCATATCCGCGGAATGCAATTTCATATATACACATTATTTTAATTGCAACCATTTAATTTGTCAAACACTGGAATTTTATTCATACATGGTTCAGTGTTGAATGCTTGTTGGTATTGGCTCTAGCCAGAAGTTATCAATAATTTTACAGGATTTGTATTAATTTGGAAAAAAAAAAAAAAAAAAGCATACAAATTGTAAAAGAAGTTGGCAGCAAAAGATTTTCAGATATGGAAAGCCAAAAAATTATTCGAAAAATGATGATCCAGAAATGACCAATGAAATCAGAAGGATGATCTGTAATACTAGTCAACAGTGAAAGCAATAATAATGAAGAAGAAAGTAAAGAACTTTAACTTAAAAGAAATTAAACAAATTGTTAAGAAAGGCACAGAAACTGTCTGATTTTGATTGGAGATTGATCAAATAAGAATGAAAAGGATGTTTTGTGAGAAACTTTGAAAACCCTTCATGTCTTAATTCAAAATTTTTTTTTTTTGTGACAGTTGTTGTTTGAATCAAAAATCGCCATCTTTTTTAAAATCTAATTGACTAGCTGCCAATTTTCCTGGTTTTTAATTTTTAATTAAGGAAGATGTTGCTCAGCAATAAATGAAATTTATTGAATTAATGAAACTTAAATTAGGCAAATTCCATCATCTTCCCTATAATGATTTTTAGAATATTTCTAATTAATGTTTATTTTTTATTTATTTTTCTTCTTTAGTTTGATTTGAGCTGTCGTAATCTGCTTGAAATATTGATATATTTTTATATGAAGATTTATGTTCATATGGTAATCAGTTAATATTTGTATTTAAGTTTGTGTACTTCAGTATATGGTGCATTACCGAGTTTATCCACACAAATACTCTACATTAATTATTAAATTTTTTCTTCTTATTTAAAAATACTTAATAAATAAGAGCTGTCCTCCAATACTCAAGATTTTCTGAGTATAAAAGTTATCAGGGGTGAGTGGGCCAGATACAGCTGGAATTTTGGATTTTTTTTTACTTTCTCAAATCTGGAATTTTCTAAGTTTGTGAAATACAGACTGCAAGTCTGTAAATTTGTGTAGTCAAAATTTTTTTCAGATTTTATTTTAGAACAAATATATCATTCAGAGATTACATAAGTTTAAAAGTTTAGCTCTATTTTAAAGTTCAATGAGATGTCAGACTTCTTGTCTGAACAAACTTTGTCCTGTACAAAGAAGCTATTCTTGCTGTTTGTTGTATACAGAAATATATATGTATATATAATTTGAAAGGGTTTGAATTTTAATTATTGCCCAAATGGGTTCTTTTAAGTAATTTAATTCTATAAGAATATTTAGCATTTTTAATTAGATATATCAAGGATTAAAAACATTTTTATTTAAAAAAAATTGTATTAAAAAGTATATAAAAAAATGAAGGTATGCATCTATTGTATTTAAATAGTTTAGTTGATTAATTAATCAGATTAACTATGAAAGAATTATTAATTATCTTATGTTTTTCTGAATGGCAACAGATTGAAAAAAAAAGTGAACAATACAAAACTAAGTTTCAAAACTAATAAAATAACCATTTTGGGCTGAAAATGAAGTTTAGGGTTGAAATCTTCAGAATGAAAGAAGATGGGAAAACAGAAATGCCTAATATTGTTAAAAATTATTAAATTAGTTTTAACTTCTGTGGACCAGTTAAATTCATTTAATGTTATAATGACTATTGTTAAAGACTTTTAGAGATAATACATTGCATAACTGAACAGTTAACCAAAATTCACAAAGTTCCATTAACCATTAATTTCTTTCTAATAGTTCTCCAAAAACCATTGTCTGCATCAGAATGTTTTTCTGATTGCATTGAATTTTTTTATTATTAGCAATAAAAAATATAAATGCAGTAGTTTCCAGTTAGTAACCTCTCCCCAAAGAAAAGGAAATCAGAAGCAAGCTTTGCAAATATTTTTTAAAACTGTTGAGAAACCAAATAGATAAGCTGTGTGACTTGATGTAGTGAAGCAAAATTAATTTTTAATGAATAAAAAAAACTTATGCTCTTTGCTTCATTAGGAAATAGTTTAAAATTAATTTTGTATGCACATAGATATGTCTTTCACATGAATATTCTTAAGTATCTGAAATTGTGGAGATTTTTACAGAACAGTATTTTTCAGGATTTTTGAAATTCTTGGTGTAAGGAAATTAAAAAATGAAATTAGCCAAAGAACATAAGATTTAGAATATTCAACTGAATTCTAATATTTTTATATCAGACTTCTGTTATGAATAGTTCAGTAACCTGAGCCATGTGTTATAAAGAGAATTAATCAGATAAAAGCACCTAGGAGCAGGTGTCACCATGCAGCATCAAAAACCTCCTGATTTCCTTGCAAAAGTCTCCTGGTTTTAAGATTTCAAGGCTGGCAGCAACACAATTGTATTTTGCACTTATCAAGCAATAATAATAATAAAAAAAAAATGCTTTCAATTAATATTTATTTCATTTTTTCCTTTTAATTACAACAGTATTTTGATTTGTTTAAATTACACATACTTTCTTAATCTAAATTATTCCACAGAAATATTTTTCTGTGGAAATTTAACTTTGTAGAATGTGATTTTGGTGTGTGTGAAGTCTGTTAATGGTGTAAGCCTCACATTTGGCCAAGGGTTTGCTGTATGAAAAAAATTCAGCAGCAAAGCAAACTGATGTGATTTTTTGAGAGTTTACATTTAATAGAAAAAAAATATATATATAAAACAGTGAAAGACTTTTTTTTTTCTGCTTACATATATGCAGAGCAATAAAAATAGTAAGTGTTAATGCTAATTCTAAATTATCTCAAAATTTTAAAAGTTACATTTCATTTATGTTTGCATTTATTTGATTTGTCAGGTTCTAGTGTGTTATCAGATTTTTCGGATTTCTTCTGATCATTAATAAACTCTTAATATTTCATCAGAATTTCAATTTCTATTAATGTTTTATTTGTGTAAACTTTAAGCAATTTTTCAGATTTCTTCAGGTTGAAAGATTAATTTTATTGATTTTTCTGCAGCGTTCTGCATCTGTAACTAGCCCTCCAACACCTATACCAGTACAGCCACAACGAATGCAAGCTCAGAGCCCAGTTATGGCAGTTCCACATTCGCAAATGATTCCTGGTTTGCCACAGCCTATCTTTACTGCTATGGCTCCTCAGTATGTTATGCAGGCAGCACCTGTGAGTATGGCTCTTACAACTCCCTTTGCTGCTGCATCTCTATCACAAGCTCCAAGATTTAGAAAAGGTATAATTTTTTTTTTTTTGGATTGTTCATAATAATAAAAGATTACATGTGTGCAGTACATTATACAAAAATGGAATGATCAAGAGCTTCAAAATTCAGTATGTGTAGGTGCACCCATTTTTTGCAGACTTTTGTTTTACCAATCAAAAAGTAATCACAGAATTTCAGTTTTGTGTATCTGTTCTAGCACTGGGAAATCTGTTGCTGAAAGCATCTTGAATTTTCATTGACCGTAAACGTGACCCTGTGAGCTCTTTTTAAAAAACAAAAATAAAGAATTTGGTAGTTGTCTAGTTTTTAAAATACTATGTGTGAAAAAAAATGCATAAGTAGAAAAACTAATTAAAGTTGAAGAGACTATATTGTATATTAAAATTTTATAACAATTATTCAGGTTAGTAAACAAACATTAGTACAAAATGATTTCGTATTTATACGACAGATGGCAACTTTTTATGGCAGTATTTAAAGGTACATTTGAACTCGCTTATAACTAGCATGAAGGGACCACGATATTTGCTTGTTATGAACAGAGTGCTCATAAAAAATGGAAAAAATCTTAAAAATTCATGCATACTTACTGTATTGTATATACTTTATTTTTTATTTCTATACAGTGCAAAAGAAGTGGGTTAATTTTCTTTGAACTGTCTTATTTTCTTTTTCATTTGTTATTGTTCTTTGGCGAAAACACATGGCCCAAAAAACATCATCATAAAAGCCAGTGAGTTATGTTAGGGGCAGTTCAGCTCGAAATTCTTCACATTCGTCATCACTTTCATTATTTTTTTTCATCTACAGTATACTTAGGAGTAGGTTTCTCGGAAGTGATAACATTGGCGTCAACAGATGCATAATTTTCAAGTTCTTCTCTACTTATTTCCAAATTTTTCAAGTCATTTATTTCTTCTTTTTTTCCCCCAGTGATTTTTCCCTTTTAAGAAATGTCCAGCCCAGCCTTAAGCCAGGAAGCTATTGGCAATGTATTGTTAATGTTAATGTTTTCCCATGCATCATTCATTAAACGTATTGCTTTGAGTACATTTACATTAGCGTTTGAAGGTGTTCCTATTTTTTCCTTCTATCGACAAGCATCAAAATCAAGTGCTCGTGAAAGTTTGATTTAAAATTTTCGATGACCCCTTGATCCATAGGCTGGATAACCCTTTAGAATTTGATGGTAAGAATTCAATTCTGATATTTGTAAGTCCATTGATTTGGGGATGCACTTTACTATTATCAATTGAATGGAGAATTTTATGCTTTTCTCTTCAGTTGTGCTATGGTCATAATTAACAGGAAGTTTTTCTACATGCTTGAAACACCTTGGGTTTTTAGACTTTCGAATAAGAAGCCGTTTCGTCTTGTCAGTCCCTGACATATTAGAACACACTAAAGCTGTTAGTCAGTTTTTCAAGAGCTGGCCTCCAACACACTATTCAATCTTTTCCATATTTTGATTCTACAACTCAAATTATGCCAGAATGCCAAGTTTTGTAAAAATCGTACGAGTAGTTTTAAAATCTTAGCCTTCAAAATTTTAGCTCCTCAATGTTAATTGAATTTGGCAAATATTTATTAATATCTCATTTCTTATTAAACTTTTTTGATTTTTCCTTTCACATTTCGAAATTTAGGTTCATTCCAAATAAAATTTACCCTTTCTTTTAATTTTAATTTATTTTTTTAATTTCTATTTTTAAATAATTTTTATAAATTTTTCAGAAAAAATTTTGAATTATAGCCTATAAAATTTTTACCATCATCTTAAAGTAGATGTATTTCTAAGCATACCTGCAAAAAAATTAGACGTCTTTATTCAAAATTTTCTAAGATATACATGAATTTACATATTTTCGCATTTTGAAATTTGGCATCTTTTTTTTTTTTTTTTTTTGAGTGAAAGTAACGCCAAATGTGGTTTATGCATTTTTGTTACAGTGAATTGCCACAGCTATTTTTAACCTTAAATTTCGAATAAATTTTTACGGAGAATTAATTATATGAGATTTTTCCCCTCAATGATATGTAATAAATATTTATTAGTACTATGTGAAAAGCTATTTTTTTAAATTATAGATGTTATGATTCAAATTTTTAACCATTTTTTCAAATTTCTCTCTTTCTTTTTTTAAAAAATATTTGTAAGAGTAAATTTTTCTCTTCGCCGTTTTATCGTCTGCTACTTTACTTAACTTAGTTTAAATCAAATTGTTTAAAACTGAGAACTTTCATTTGATGTTTATTTGAATTTTATGAAAATATTTTATGACATTAACTGCATAATTTATTTCTAAACAAGCTGTTGCTTATGAAGTGGCTGAGAGAGCGGCTGATACTATCATCCATATTTTTAAAGCACAGTATATTTTTATAGAAACATAAGATTTAAAATAATCATTTTTATAAAAGTCAAATTATGATATAAACATACAACCCTCTAGAGACTGAATTAATGGAGTTCAATGGTTATGTAGAAATGATCTGCAGCTACTTAATGGCTGGATAAGTCAGCAGGTTCTGTGGACAAGTAAGAATAATTATATAAATGACACCCAACATTCTGGATTCAATTAACAATGAGGGTACGATGTTTATTAAATGAATTTCCGAAGTTTTAAAACATAAAAAAATCAACTCATTTTTTATCCTAAAATGTATTTTTGTGTGTAGCGTATTTTCATTATATCCTTAAAATTCTAATTTAGAATGTAATTGTCAAGAACTGAATTCTAATCATCAGTAATATAATAAGTAATTATTACGGTTATTAATAAATCCTTTTTATAAAGTAATTGCAAATATTTCAAATCTTTGTCTGAATGCAAATATTTTTCTATGCAAATATTTCTTATTTTATATTAATCAAGATTGCACACGATATTATTTATTTACACTTAAATTCTTACTGCCAGTTCTAGTAGACTTTACAAATCAATTATATTTAATTAAGGAATGACCATCTAAGTTTAGAAACAGCGTACCATAACAGCAATTCAATTATTGGCGCCGTATCTTTCATGTTACTCTCAATTGGCAAGCTACATGATTTTTAATGAGTATTCAGGTTTTCCTAGTAACTTCACTTGGAAATCGCACTCAAACTAGGTTAGTTGGTTATTTGAACATAGAAAGAACATGGGAGCTATTTGGTTAAGATGCTTTCATAGAGAACCTAGAAAACTACGAAAACCAACCATGCAGCCTGGATTAGACTTCACAAAAAACAATTAGTATTTAACAATCTTCAAATGCTAGGCAACTGGTAAGGCTCCAATTAAATCTCCAATTTAATATTTTATTTGTAAATATTTAAAATATAGTTGTATTGTTAGACACAAAAAGACGAATTTAAGTTTTGTTAACTCGTTAGTAAACTACCAAGCCGTAGTGCAAATGAATAATCAATTTCTTTTGCAATAATTGCATTCACTTAATATTCTTGGAATATGAGCTAAAGAAGGAATGTTCTCAGAAGATTAAAGAAGTGTTTAAATCCAGTGATATTAGGTTTGTCTTACAAGCTCAGGATCAAAACGATTCTGGAATTGCCTGAGTAGTTGACTTGTAAACAGCTGTGAATTAAGCAGATGACTTTTGATCTTACGTTAAACGTATTCCAAATGTTTTGTATTGCCTGACAATGCATCTTTTCATTATTCAATAACCAATCGGAGAACTGCTTGAGTTCCGAAAATAAGTATGTGCTCAATCGTCCTGCATGTTCTTCAAATTTTTCTTCTTGTGATTCTTTTTTTCTTTCCCAAAAACTAAAGTTGCCTCTCAAAGGAAAGTTTTTTGACGAGACAAAAGGAATATGATATCTATTTTTTAGAGGCATGTCAAAAACAGATCTCTACAAGCCTTCTCTTCCATTACATGTTGTGCATTCAGACAAAAAGTTGCGTCAGCGTAAATTCTATAATCTGTTTTTATTACACTCTGATTACTTTATTAACATACAGTGAATGTGTACTAAACTTTTACTTCAACTTCAGTAATTCGGAATTTTTGACGGCATTGTTGTCGGAACTAGGACTTAGAAGATAAGTCTAATTGATTATTTTGATAATCCAATAAATTCAAGGTCGAAGTTTCAGTATTTTATTTTTGGAGGAAGGGGAAATTTTTTCAGTTTTGGTCCATTATCCTAAGTATATTTGCTTCGATTCTTTATTTTTTCCATAAAAGTGAAAATCTTACGCATGGTATACATATAACGCATAGCTTCAAATTAAAATTTAATAATATACAGAGTGGTTATAATTAAAGTTCCACTTTGAAATGGTCATAAAAGAAAAACTACTGGATCAGATGTTATCAAACGTAATAACCTTGTAAAGGAGGTCATGGGAATTTATTTTTCTTGAAAAAATGAAAGTTTGAAACCTCACCACCAGGGGGGAAGTGGCGCTGTATGCAATATTGTTAAATGAAATATGGGTTAAATCTAACTTAACCTTTTGTTACACGGGTTTAATATGTGGTATACACTTAAGAAACTTTGAAGTAAGCAAATTAAGGCGTTGAATTCAATAAAAGTTGAGTGCGCCATCCGTGTAAGGGAGAAATTCGTCCATGAAAACCACAAATAAGCGATTAGAAAATGTGAGATTGCAAATCACTCACACAAATGCTTACAATCTGGAAATCATTTTCTTACAGATCGCTAATTTGTAATTTTTGAAGCCTGAATTCGGCCCTAAAACTTGAAGATACCGATTCAAAACGCTTTTAATCATTTTGGGCCAAAGAAATTTCTCATGTTATCTACCTAGTTCCATTACATTCTCCTACTGCATTCCATTGCATAGCAGTCATTCCACACCGTTTGGAATGGAATGACAGCTAGTTTTATAACTGAACCATTTTTCTCTGAAGAGCAGTCGACAGCTGGACCACTGTGATTGCAGCTCACTTAGAGTCAATGTTAAAATGTCTCGTGATACATGAACTGCAGTAACGTGGCATTTTAGATACTATGATTTTTATGCAGGGCT